GTGGGGGGAAGCTTTCTTCCGCAGAGTGAGTGAGTGAGTGAGTGGGGACAGGGCCAGTGCCCACCGTGGTGGGTGCTTCCCCCTTGCTGCCCTGGGAGGGCAGCCCGGGCCCCCAGGACTGCCTGGGCACCGGCGGGGGGCCCAGGGCAGGCGCTAAGAGTCGCGTGTGCTCCTCTGATTGCTGCGCAGGTCGGCCGGCTGGCGGAGCTGGGCGCGGCGTCGGGACGGGCCACCGGGCCGGGCTAGGAAGGTGTAGTTCGCCTCAGCGCCGCCCAGGGCGGGCCCGGCTCCTTTAACCGTTGCAGTCTTCTGTCCCTTCACCCAGGTGGGCAAGCGCAGAGGCGGGAACAAACTAGCCCTCAAGACGGGAATAGTAGCCAAGAAGCAGAAGACGGAGGATGAGGTGAGTGGGAGGGTGGGTGTGGTCCTGGGGGGGTGGTGGAGGGCGTGTGTGGGGGGAGGCAAGGACGGGAAGGCGGGCTTTCCTTCCCTGAACCTCCCCATAGCTTAACCTCGAACCCAGGGCCATCAGGGTGACGCCGGGGCTGGGGTCAGCTGTCGCCGGAACAGTCCTGACCCTGGGTTCTTGGCCTCCCTGGCACCCCCCCTCCCTCCCCGACCCCCGCAGGTATTAACAAGTAAAGGTGACGCGTGGGCCAAGTACATGGCGGAAGTGAAAAAGTACAAAGCCCACCAGTGTGGCGATGACGATAAAACTCGGCCCCTGGTGAAATGACCCCCTCTCCCGTCTGCCCACGGCCTGGGACTGTGCGTTGTACATAACTATTTAATGCAGCGGCAGCAGCAGCGGCCTCCCCCGGGGACTTAACACGAGGAAACTGAGACACCTCCCGCAGCCGCGGCCGATTCTCCAGGACTTTTTTTTTTACCTTGAGCACTTGACTCCTGAGACTTCATAGAACAGTGGTTTACTGTCTCCTCTCCCCCACTCCTTGCTGTCCCTGGGTCTTCTTCTGTCTTCTCCTCCTCCTCCTCCTCCTCCTCCTCCTCGCCCTCCCCTTAGCCATCACTTCTGGGAAGTAAAGAACCTGATTTAGTGCCGGAGCCGTGTCCTTGGTTTGTCTTCTTCACTTTCTCTCCCAGATCTAAGCCCGAGGGGCGGAGGGGCAGAGGGGCCTAGGGGCCTAGGGTGGGGAAGGGTGGGCCCCGGTACAAGACCCAGCTCCTCATCCCCGGCTTGGGCCAAAGCTGTTAACTTTGTTGATTCAGCAGACACTTAGTGAGCATCTGCTGTATGCCAGGGTTGTTTGAACACCCTGGAGGCACAGAAAAAAAACCAGCAAGTGGGATCCTCCCTGCCTAAGCTGAGAGAGACAGACACAGGCAAGAGAACATGTTTTGAGTAGTGGCTGCTAACAAGTGTAGAGGCTGCTGCTTTCTTTTTCTTCTTCTTCTTCTTTTTTTTTTTTTTTTTTTTTTGACAGGCAGAGTGGATAGTGAGAGAGAGAGACAGAGAGAAAGGTCTTCCTTTTGCCGTTGGTTCACCCTCCAATGGCCACCACGGCTGGCGCACTGCGGCCGGCGCACCGTGCTGATCCGAAGGCAGGAGCCAGGTGCTTCTCCTGGTCTCCCATGGGGTGCAGGGCCCAAGCACTTGGGCCATCCTCCACTGCCTTCCCAGGCCACAGCAGAGAGCTGGCCTGGAAGGGGGGCAACCGGGACTAGAAGCTGGTGTGCCGGCGCCGCAAGGCGGAGGATTAGCCTATTGAGCCGCAGCACCGGCCTGCTTTATTTTTCAAAGGTTTATTTGAAAGGCAGAGTTAGAGAGAGAGAGACAAAAAGGTCTTCCACTGATTCATTCCCCAAATGGCCGTGATGGCTGGGCCAGGCTAAAGCCAAGAGCCAGGAGCTTCTTCTGGGTTACCCACGGAGGTGCAGGAGTCCAAGCACTAGGACCATCTTCCACTGCTTTCCCAGGTGCATTAGCAGGGAGCTGGATCGGAAGTGGAACAGCTGGGACTCGAACTGGCAGAGAGATTGTCCATCCACTGGTTCATTCCTCCACTGGCTAGGCTAAAGCCAGGAACCCGAACTCCCATCTGGGCCATCCATGTGAGCAGCAGGGACGCGAGCCCTTGAGCTGGCCCCTACTGCCTCCCAGGCACAGTAGTTGGAAGCTGAATCCGAAGCTGAGCTGGGACTTACACCAGGAGCTGCTGTGCTGGCGGCCATTGTCTGCAGTAGCAGCATTCACTGCTCAGCCACAACAGCTGCCCCCAAGGTAGGGTCTTTGAGGGCAGCGAGGAGCGTGTCCCAGGTGGAAGGAACAGCTTGTGCAAAGGCAGGTCAGAGAGTGGCCCTCCTGGGATGCTTCAAGAAGACTTGGGTCCCCGGGGCAAAGAGCAGATGCAGTGTGGTCCTGGTGGGGCGCCCTTGTCCTCAGAGCCCAGCAGAGGCAGCGTTGGGAGGTTGGGGTGGAGCACCTGCTATGTGGGGATAAAGCAGCTACAGAGAGAAAAACATCCTTAGCCTTGCTGATCTGACCTTGGTGGTGGTGGGACCCGAGATGGAGGGTTGGGGAGACCAGAAACAGCACATCAGACGGCCATGCATTCTACAGGGGGGACCCAGAGGAGACCAGAGATGCCCCAGTGTAAGTTAAGCTGGTCCGGGACGCGTGGGAACGCCAGGCAGTGCAGGAACAGAATCGGGGCTCCGCGGAGTGTTCCAGGCAGAATGAACAGCCGGTGGGTGCAAAGACTGGGGTGGGGGGGTGGGGGGGATGGAAACCAGGCGCCTCGGCTTGTGAAAGAAACCGAGATCAGGCTGCAGAACTGGACACATCCTCCCTCCGTCTGTCCCTGTGTGCACACCTGCCTTTCCCATCCACTCCCGCGATCTCTCCCTCCTACTTGAGGGGACGCTGGGGCTGGAGAGACTGTGTGTGTGTGTGTGTGTGTGTGTGTGTACACGCGTGTGTGCAATGGACAGCTACCTTCTCCCTGAAAGGCAGCAGCCAGCCCCTGGATCTTTAAAAAGCAACCAGCGAGCGAAGTAGGTCGGCCCTGCCCCAGCTCAGCCTCTATTTTAAAGTGTCAGGAGGAGCTGGAAGTGCAGGCGCCTCCCTTCACAGCCCTTAGCCGGCTCTGACCTGGGAACAAAATTCAGGTTTTGGTGAGTCACACAGCCCTGGCTCCAACACTATTTTGGTGCCTGTTAGGCTGTGTGATCTGGGATGAAAATTCATTTAGCCTTTCTGTGGCTCGGGTTCTTTATATATACATATATTTTTAAGTAATAGATGAAGGGGTGAAATACAGGGGCTTCTGGAGCAAGGACCACATGAACACGGCCGGCTTGAATCCTGGCTGATAAAACCATCATTGCTTTTCTGAGCGAGGGAGCCGCTCAGGCGGGGAGGGGAGCCCGTTGGTGTCCCATCTCAGAGTCACCCTTGGCACCAGTTTCTTTTTTGCACGGAGCACTTCTAACGGAAGCAGGCTGGTTTATGCATGGGGCTGTTGGAAATTGCACAATTTTTGGAAATCGCCCGATAGATAGCAGGTGCTTAAAAAAATAGGCGGCGGTTGGGGGAGGTTGGAGAGAGGAGGGGACGGGACCCTTGTCCCAATTCAAGCACTCAAATTCACACGCGGCTCTGCCCGGGCTCTCCCGAGGCTGGCCTCTGGGAAGAGGAAACAAGCATCACAAACTCACGCCTCCGAACTCGGTCCCCCATGGGGCTCCAATCTGGGGCAGCTCCCCTCCCCCGGCCCCGGCTGGACCACGAAGCTCCCACCGTTCCTGCCTCGCCCTCTGCCAACTCCGAAACCTAGTCCCCACCCCTCCCAATCCCACAAGTCTTGGTGGGGGCAGGGGTGGGAACTCCAGACGCCCCTCGCCCTTCCCCGCTCCCCACCCCCAATCCTTTCGAGTCCCAACCAGAGCCTCGAAGCGCGGCGACGGAGCCGCGTTGCACGACGGGATTTGTAGTTCCAGCGTCCACGCGGCGGGAAAGGGGACTCTGCGCACGCGCAGATGGCCACTTCGCGCACGTGCGTCTCCAAACCGGGTTCCCGTGCGGTCTGCTGTGGCTGCGGTTAGGAGTCCTTCCCGCTGCTCTTTTTTGGTTTGGCGGAGTGTTCCCGCACGCTGGGAGTTGGGCACCGGCCGGCCTTTCCCTGGCCTGGGACAGCCCCATAAGCAGTGTGCTCACGGGAAGTGGGCTGAGACACCTGTACCTCTCCTTCAAGGCTGGGGCAAAACCCGACCCCGGGCGTCGGCGCGTGCCTCCGGGCGGGGCTGAGCTCTCTTTAGGATGAGGACTTTGGTGCACTCAGTAACTATTGCTTTAGGGAGGGGCCGGATACAGTGGCAGGGTGGTCCCCAGCCTTTGCGGAGTAAAAAGTCACGTTTTTAAAGACCAGTTTCTGACTGGCCAGGTGATGCCTCACTTGAACTATCTCCAAGAGAACAGACTGTGCCGATACCCATTGGGTAAGTGGAGAAACCAAGGCTCCGAGTGGCAGGGCTGGGAGGAGAAGCGGGGCGGGGGGCTCCAGGGTCCCCAGCTCCTCCCCACTCCCTCAGATGGTGCAGGGGTCACGATTGATTTCTTTCTTCGTGACCTTGCCCTGCCCCGAGTCTCCTGGGCAAGGAACGTCACCTCCTCCCTGCTCGAGTTTAGTATTAGTTCATTTAAAATTTCAGGTCCTCGTGCTCATCTCTGATAAAGAACAGAATAAATAACAACTTGTGGCCGTGGCTTCGGTCCAGCTGTCTTCCCTTTGTCTAGGGTGCTAAGTCCTTAAAGCCTTTTCTGTACTCTGTTCCCAAGTGTCTGGCTAACGGGGTGGGAGGCACGGTTCTATTCTTAAAGAGGACGGGAGTGACAGAGGCGCAGCTTGCTGTGGCCGAGGGGTTCCCGGGTCCGTCACACAGCCAACCTCCCTGTGCGCCACCGAACTTCTGGCTCTTGCAAAAAGCACCAAGCCGGCTTGGCGTTGAGACGGCGAGGAAACGAGACGCTGGGAGGACCGAACGGCTAGAGAGGCCGCACCCGTTCTGTCACGTGACTCGCTCCTGACTGGGCCAAGTCTCGCCCGCGCTAGGTCACGTGCGCCGGCGGCTTCTTCCTATTGGCTGCGTTGTCCCAGTTTGAACGGAGTACGGAAGCCGCGCCGGTTCAGTGACGGCCGCGTTTTTTTTCTTTTTCTTTTTTTTTTTTTTAATTCCCTCTCTTTGGCTCCCTCCTTCCGCGCGAGTCTCTGGAGAAGCCGCATCGCAAGGCGCCGCTGCCGCCGTTGCCCGGGGCCGGGGTAAGTGGGCCTCCCTCCTAGCCGGACCCGCTCGGCCCACGCCCGAGTCTCCTCACGCCGGACTCCGGGCCTGCGCCGCGCGCGGCCCGAGCATCGGGGCCGCGCCTGACCGGGAGAGGCCGAGAACCCGGTTGGGCCCGATCCGCGAGGAATGGAGAACGGGCTGGGCGGGGGGTGGGGGGCACCGAGCCGAGCTCCGGGGGTGGGGGGGTGGGGCCTCGGAGCCGGGCCAGGTCGCGGTGCCGCGAGAAACGGGCCAGTGGGGGCGGGCTGGGGTCGGGCAGGAGGGGGATCCGCCTGGGAACTGCTGAGGGCCTGATCGGGGGACGTCGCGAGGATCGGGTGTGTGTAGGGGCTCGGTTGGGTCTCCCTGGGGGGAGGCCGCGTTGAAAGTTGCGGGGTGGGGGAGGAAGCTCGCCGGGCCCCGGGCGGGGAAGGGGCGGCCGGCCGGGTCCTAGAGGGGCTTTGCTGGGTCCGACGGCCGGGCGGCGCTGGGATCCGTTGAGGGGGCTGCTCGGGCGGGGGCGGGGGTCGGCCAGGCCTGATCCGGGAGTGGGGTGGTGGGGAAGCTGCTGCAGGACGGAGGGGGGCTTGGCCGAACTTGAATGGGATCCATCGGCGGGAGTTCACGCTGCCGACCGGGGCGGAGCGGGGTCGCTGGGGAGGATTTGGCCGGACCTGATTGGGGAAAGCGACAGGGACGCGTCCGGGGGGCTCCGCTCGCGGGCTGGGCTGGCTCTCTCGCAAGGGAGTGCTCCGGGGTTACCTGGCCAGGCCTGGAAAGGCGGCGGGCGCCTGGAGTCGGATAAGGAGTGGAGATGGGCAGGGGATCAGGGCCATTGGGGGCCAAGCTGGGCGGCTGGGATCTGGCCGAGCTTCGGGCCTTGATTTCGCGACAAGGGGACCTCTCCGGGGGCCGGGGCGCTCTCGCGGCCTGGGGCGGGGTCCGTGGACTTGGAGGCGGGTGGGCCCTCGCCCAGAGAGGGAGGTGCAACCCTTAGTGCCCGCAGCCGGGGGCGGCGGCGGCATGGGCCAACTTGGGATGAGGGCTCCACGCTGGGCCCCGCGAGGATCCACCGGGCTCCGCCGCCGCTGCCCGTGGCCCGCGTCCACATCCCCCCACCGGCGCTCCCGAGCCCGCGGCTGCGCGGCCTGGGATGGCGCAGCTGGCTGGGACCCTGCACTTGGGCGGGCATGGATCGGCGGCCTCCGCCTGTCCGCCGAGGGCGCTGCCGTGGTCATGCGGCCGCCGCCACCTCGGGGTCTCAACCCGGGCCTGTCAGCGAGCCCCAGAAGCCCAGCCTTGACCCTGGCCCCTACCCCCGCAGCTCGCCTTGCGCCATGGACTGGCAACCAGACGAGCAGGGCCTGCAGCAGGTCCTGCAGCTGCTCAAAGACTCGCAGTCGCCCAACACGGCCACGCAGCGCGTTGTGCAAGATGTATCCTTCCTGCCTTCTGGGGCTGGTGCAGCCGCACAGATGTCCACGGCCCCTGATGCGGGGCGCGCACGCGCGGGGCGGGGCAGACTCCCTAAACCCCAGACTTTGGGGCTTCAGAGCAGTAAGGGTCAGAGAAGGCTTGGGTCCCATTCCCTGAGTTGCAAGGGTTCCTTAGCCGGGTCATTGGAGCTACACCTACACCTGACTTTCAGGGAGTACTTAAACTTACCCTGTTAACTATTAATGAACGTAGGTGCTGTTACTGTACCCATTGTGCAGATGAGGAGACTGAGGCTTTGCCGCAGTAGCTGCTGGTAGTAGGCAGTGAGGCCAGGATGGGAATTCCAGCCCAGGTTGGGAGGGGAGCGGGGAAGGTAGGTCTGAGTGAGAGAGCGAGCCCCGAGCTGAGGTGGTACTTGGCTTTTCTTTTGCCTCTGGTCCAAAGTTCTTTCTGTGGTTGCTTAATAAATGAAAAAAAAAAAGTGATAGACATTGCAAACAGCTGCGAGTTGTGCTTGCACGTCTGGGTTCCGTTCTCTTTCTAGATGAAAACCCAGGCCTCACTGGAAAGCAGGCGAGGAGGGCAGGGAAGCCCCTGCTCCCGTCAGTCACACGGGGTCCTCACCTTTCCCAGGGGCACCAGGGAAGCAAAGGCATTGCAGCCTCCTCCCTGCTGGAGTTTTTAAAATAAGATTTATTTATTTGAAAAGCACAGAGAGAGAGAGAGAGAGGGATCGGGATCTTCTATCTGCTCAAATGGCTGCAACAGCCAAGGCTGGACCAGGCCAAAGCCTGGAGCCTGGAGCTCCATTGGGGTGTCCCAAGTGGGTGGCGGGGGGACCCAAGTCCCTGGGGCCATCTTCCGCTGCTTTTCCCAGGCGCAGTAGCAGGGAGCCGGGTCCTCGGGGGCGGCTGGGGCCGGTGTCCCAGGCAGTGGCTTCACCTGCCGTTCTACAGCTGCTGGGGTCCCACTGCTGTGCCATCTGGGCCTTAGGGGTGGCTATGGCGGCGAGTGTGCTCCACGGCCGGCTGGGGGGGGCATGGGGGGGGGAAGGCCCCTGTCTCCAAGCCCCTTAACCTCCCGCCAGAAACTCAAACAACTCAACCAGTTTCCCGACTTCAACAACTACCTGATCTTCGTCCTGACCCGACTCAAGTCTGAAGGTAGCATCCCCTGTGGTCCCCCCACCTTCCCGCCCCAGGCCCCGGGGAGGGGGTGCCTGATGACAGTGGACCCTCCCCCTCCCCCAGATGAGCCCACACGCTCCCTCAGCGGCCTCATCCTGAAGAACAATGTGAAAGCACACTACCAGAGCTTCCCGCCACCCGTGGCCGACTTCATCAAGCAAGAGTGCCTGAACAACATTGGTGATGCCTCCTCGCTCATCCGGGCCACCATCGGTGAGAGGGGCAGCTGGGCGGGGTGGGGAGGGCGGCCCCTGAGGCCCCCAGCCCCTCACTCCCGACGCCAGGGAAGAGGAGCAGGCGGGACTCGAACCACTATCCATAAGGGATGCTAGTGCCGCAGATGGAGGCTTAGTCCATTATGCCGCAGCGCCAGCCCCACCGAAGCCATTTTATCTTAGGATTTTCACTCCTGCTGAATACCAACCCTATTTGTTAGCAATTTTACATGTGAAATCTCCATGGATTTTTAAATAAAGATTTATTTTACTTATTTGGAAGGCAGAGTTACAGAGAGAGAGAGAGAGAGAGAGAGAGAGAGAGAGAGAGAGAGAGAGATTGAGATTCCATCCATTGGGTCGCTCCCCAAATGGCCACAACAGCTAGGGCTGGTCCAGGCCAGGAGCCAGGAGCTTCTTCTGGGTATCTCACGAGGGTGCAGGGCTTGGGCCATCCTCTGCTGCTTTCCCAGGCCCTTAGGGAGCTGGATTGGAAGTAGAGCATCTGGGACTCGAACCTGTGCCCATATGTGATGTCGGCACTGCAGGCGGCAGCTTTACCCCCCATGCCATAGCGCCAACCTAAATCTCCATCAATTTGAAAAGATGACTATTTTTTTAATGATTATTTATTTTAATTTACCGAAAGACAGATAAACAGAGAAAAAGAGGCAGAGACAGATCTTTCAGGTGCTGGTTCCCTACCCCAGTGCCCACAACAGCCAGGGATAGGTGAAGCTGAAATCAGGCGCCTTGGCGCTCCATCCAGGTCTCCCTGGTGGGTGGCAGCGGCCGAAGCCCTTGGGCTGTCTTTTGCTGCCTTCCCAGGTGCATTAGCAGGGAGCTGACTGGGAAGCGGAGGCGCCTGGACTTGAACCAGCTCTCCAATGTGGGATGCTGGTAGCACAGGTGGCAGCCCAGCCCACTGTGCCCCAGTGCCCACCTCTAAAAGGCTGCTTTTGAAAGGAGACTAGGGGGCCGGTGCTGTGGCGTAGCGGGTAAACTGCTGCCTGAAGTGTTGGCATCCCAAATGGGCGCCGGTTCTAGTCCTGGCTGCTCCACTTCTGATCCAGCTCTCTGCTATGGCCTGGGAAAGTAGTAGAAGATGGCCCAAGTGTTTGGGTCCCTGCACCCGTGTGGGAGACCTCAAAGAAGCTTGTGGCTCCTGGCCTTGGATCAGCCCCGTTCCACCCGTTGCAGCCATCTGGGGAGTGAACCAGCATATATAGGACCTCTCTCTGTAGCTCTGCCTTTCAAATAAATAAATCTTAAAAAAAAACAATAGGCCGGCACCGCGGCTCAATAGGCTAATCCTCCGCCTGCGGCGCCGGCACACCGGGTTCTAGTCCTGGTCGGGGTGCCGGATTCTGTCCTGGTTGCCCCTCTTCCAGTCCAGCTCTCTGCTGTGGCCCAGAAGTGCAGTGGAGGATGGCCCAAGTGCTTGGGCCTTGCACCCCATGTGAGACCAGGAGAAGCGCCTGGCTCCTGGCTTTGGATCAGTGCCGTGCGCCGGCCGCAGTGTGCTGGCTGTGGCGGCCATTGGGGGGTGAACCAACGGACAAGGAAGTCCTTTCTCTCTGTCTCTCTCTCACTGTCCACTCTGCCTGTCCAAACACACACACACACACACACACACACACACACACAATAAAGATTACATAGAACCGTTTTAAATGGAAAGACAGGCTTACTTGCTCTCGAGGGAACATAACCTTAAAATAAATGCAGTAAGACAAAAATAGTCTTAAATTGGAGCCAGACCCTGGGGCTGGCTGTGTGGCCTGCTGACTCGGTTGGAGTGTCTCCTAGCCCCAGCAGTGCCCAGTCTGAGGCTGGTGGAAGAATCTAGACTTCGTGAGCTCCGAGGCTGGTCGGATCCCACTTCTACAAGTACCAAGTGCATGGATGCAACCATCCCTGGGTTGACAGTGTATCAGAGCGCCGGTTCAGGCTTCGGCTCTTCTGCTTCCGGTCCAGCTCCCTGCGAGTGCACCTGGGAAAGCAGCAGGCGATGGCCCAAGTAGAGTATCTGAGCCCTGGCCACTCATGAGATAAGCCCGAATGGAGTGCCAGGCTCCTGGCCTCGGCCTCTCCCTGCACTGGCTGTTGGCGACCAGTGGCAAGGGTGGGGTGGGGGCAGAAGCCAGGAGCTTGGAATTCAGTCCTGGTCTCCCATATAGGTGGCAGGTGCCCCGTCACCTGGAGTGTGGTGTGGTGTGGTGTGGTGTGTGTGTGTGTGTGTGTGTGTGTGTGTTTAACCTCAGTGGGGTTAGTACTGAGGTGCAGAGGTTGGATGATAGGGCTAAGAGGACTGGACCTAGACCTTGGCGGGGTCAGGGAGTGGGCAGGTGGGTGGCTGCTGAGCTGGCCACAGGGTCCCCAGCCACAGTGGCAGCTTTCTGCACCTGTTTTTGAGGCAGGGTCAAGGTTATCTGAGCATTGGCTCTGGCCGCCTCCCCCTCTGGGCAACACTGCCACCTAGTGGCACCACACGCTGGGTGGCACAGCTCTCACGTTTCAGATTCCTGGGGCGTTTGGGTTCCTAAATGATAGGACAGGTTGTATATATCCATGACACCCTGTGTTGCCCCCCCCCCCCACCTGCCTGCTCCTACCTCCTCTCACACACACACCCCCACTGCATTTCCCACTGGCCCCTTGCCCATGTGGGAGCACACCAGGCCGCCCTGCCCCTGGGCCTTTGCACTGGCAGATCCTCCTCCCTAGTTGCTGGTCCCCCAGGTGCCCGGATGTCTCCTCCTTCACCTTCTTCACTTCTCACAGATGTCACCTGCTCGTGGCTTGTCTGGGCCGCCCAGTGTGAAACTGCTGCCCCCTCCCCCCAGCTGTTGCCATCTTTGCCGCTGTTTCCTCCCTCAGTCCTGGGTACGGGGCCTCCCACCCCTGTGGCTGGAGCCGGAGCCCGGTGCCTCCCTCTAAGGGCAGGAGGGGCCGGCTGGGGCCAGGCCGTACAACAGAAGGCTCAAAGGCTGTTTGCTGAGTCACCGGGTGCTACTGTGCCCACCTCCGAAGGGGTGTGTGTGTGTGCGCGTGCGCAGAGACAGCAGTGAGCAGGCGCCCCGTGGTGAGGGGCAGCCTGGCCCACTACAGGCACGAGCCTCCTTGTCCCGCCGTCCCCCCAGGCATTCTCATCACCACCATCGCTTCCAAGGGTGAGCTGCAGATGTGGCCGGAGCTGCTCCCCCAGCTCTGCAACCTGCTCAACTCGGAGGATTATAACACCTGCGAGGTAGGACCGGGAGCCGCGTGGGAGCAGGCTGGGGCTGGGTGCACCACGCCCACCTCTCCCTCTCCTTGCCTCTCTGCTCCTGTCTGCCCAGGGAGCCTTCGGGGCCCTGCAGAAGATCTGCGAGGACTCCTCGGAGCTTCTGGACAGCGATGCCCTGAACAGGCCCCTCAACATCATGATCCCCAAGTTCCTGCAGTTCTTCAAGCACTGCAGCCCCAAGATCCGGTGGGAGCGGCGCCCAGGGCTGGGGGCGGCCGGGGGCGGCCGGGGGCGGCCGGGGCGGGGGTGACCTGGCGCTGCCCCTCCCCAGGTCCCACGCCATCGCCTGCGTCAACCAGTTCATCATGGACCGGGCCCAGGCGCTGATGGACAACATCGACACGTTCATAGAGGTAGGCGGGCCCCCGGCCTGGGGGCTGGCCGGGCAGGGGAGGCCGAGGCCGCTGACCCTGACCTTGCCCGAGCAGCACCTGTTCGCCCTGGCCGTGGACGACGACCCCGAGGTGCGGAAGAACGTGTGCCGCGCGCTGGTGATGCTGCTGGAGGTGCGCATCGACCGGCTCATCCCCCACATGCACAGCATCATCCAGGTGAGCGCGCAGGCGCAGGCAGGGGGCGGGGCGGGGCGGGGCGGGGACCGGCTCCTCCCCCACGTGCACAGCATCATCCAGGTGAGCGCGCAGGCGCAGGCGCAGGCAGGGGGCGGGGCGGGGCATGGGGCGGGGCGGGGCGGGGACCGGCTCCTCCCCCACGTGCACAGCATCATCCAGGTGAGCGCGCAGGCGCAGGCAGGGGGCGGGGCGGGGCTGGGCGGGGCGTGGTGGGGACCGGCTCCTCCCCCACGTGCACAGCATCATCCAGGTGAGCGCGCAGGCGCAGGCGCAGGCAGGGGGCGGGGCGGGGCGGGGCATGGCAGGACGGCCTCATCCCCCGCCTGCACAGCATCATCCAGGTGAGCGCGCAGGCGCAGGCAGGGGGTGGGGCGGGGCGGGGCATGGTGGGTGGGGGCGGGGCGGCCCGCGCCTCAGCCGCTCCCCTGTGCCCCAGTACATGCTGCAGAGGACCCAGGACCACGACGAGAACGTGGCCCTCGAGGCCTGTGAGTTCTGGCTGACTCTGGCCGAGCAGCCCATCTGCAAGGAAGTCCTGGCCTCCCACCTGGTGCAGTGAGTACCGCCCCACCCTGGCCTCTAGGCCGCAGTCCTTTTGGAATCCCGGGTCCCTTTAGGTCTTTGGGTATTTACTCTCGCAGCCATGACTAGGGCAGCTCGAGTGAGTTCATAAAGAGTACTTGGCGGCTGCTCGGCAGGACAAGCTGAGAAATGTGTGACAGAGGCTTCAGGTGTGGCTGGATCCAGGTGCTCAGGGCATCTGAGTGGCCCGTTGCCTGCCTCCAGCCCCGGAGCCCCCATGTGAGCAGTTGTCTCTTGAGTGGTGTCTCCTTGATTAGAGGCAGGGAGGGGTGGGGGCCGGCCGGCAGCTCTGGCAGAGCAGGTGGGAAAGTTCTCTGAGAATCTCCGTTGTGTCGGCCCCGCCGCCTGGCCCCACGTCAGCTCCTGCCTCAGCCTGTGCCAGGGCCGGGCACAGTTCCCAGGGTTTTCAGGTGGATTCTGGGGTCTGAGGGTGGCTAGGCCCGGGTCAGGAGCAGCCATCCTGCTGGGACCCTTCCCTCTGGGTGAGGGTCAGCAGTGCCTGTGGGCCCAGCTCCATCCGCGGGGCCTCCGGCATCCTGGTGTACAGCCCCCCCCCCCCCATAGGCTGATCCCTATCCTGGTCAACGGGATGAAGTACTCGGAAATCGACATCATCCTGCTCAAGGTTAGGGGCGGGGCTTGTGTGGCAGGGCTGGCCGGTGGGCTGGGGTGTGGTGGGCAGCAGGTGCTCAGCCGTGCACCGCCCCCGCCTGGCACCCAGGGGGATGTGGAGGAAGACGAGGCGGTGCCGGACAGTGAGCAGGACATCAAGCCGCGCTTCCACAAGTCGCGCACCGTGACGCTGCCCCACGAGGCCGAGCGGCCTGACAGCTCCGAGGACGCGGATGACGACGACGACGATGATGACGCTCTGTCCGACTGGAATCTGAGTGGGTGCTTGGCGGAGAGGCGTGGTCGGGGCGGGGTGGGCTCTGGGCCCCGCCTCCAGAAATGATCAGAACATTGCAGAGCTCCTGATTGGACTCTTGAGTGCTTGGCCTGGCGGGGGGGGCTGAGCTCTGGGCCCCACCCAGAGCTTGGCCTGGCTGGGGTGGGGCTGTGGGGGCCAGTCGCCTGTGCCGTGGCCTCTCTCTCTGAGCCTGTTTCTCCCCACGCCCACCCAGGGAAGTGCTCCGCGGCGGCGCTGGACGTTCTCGCCAACGTCTTCCGGGAGGAGCTGCTGCCCCACCTCCTGCCCCTGCTCAAAGGCCTCCTCTTCCACCCGGAGTGGGTGGTCAAGGAGTCGGGCATCCTGGTGCTGGGCGCCATCGCCGAGGGTGAGTCCTGCAGCTGCCTGCCCCACCGCGTTGGCTTCCGGGCCTGAAAAGGAGCCCCTGAGCCCCCAAATGCCAGCCCTGCCCGTCATCCTCACGGGCAGGGCATCCCATGATGCTTTAAGCAGATGACAGCAGCCACAGGGTGAGTCCGCTTCCGGACCTGCCCATCCCTGCAGTCCCCACCTGTGTAGATAGAGACGGTGACATCACTTCCCCTGCCGCCACCCAGGGTGCACCTGCTCAGATGCGAGTGCTCGGCGGCTTAACCCCTCGTGGGCCGGCACCTGGCCCTGGTTACAGAATCCTGTAGCGCTGATGAGACACTCACCTTGACCGACAGGACGGCTGGTAACAGGCGTCCCCTGGGATCGCCTGTCTCTAACCTGCCCTGAAGTTGCAGACACGCCCCAGAGACCCTCAGTCTGGAGGGTTGATTTATGTTCACTTCACTTGAAAGGCACAGAGACAAAGAGGGCCTCTTCCCATTGGTTCACTCCCCAAATGCCCCCAACAGCTAGGCCTGGGCCCGGTCAACACCAAGGAGCCTGGAACTCCATCCAGGTCTCGCACCTGAGCACTTGAGCCCTCACCACTGCCTCCCAGGGTTTGCAGGAGCAGAGGAGGAGGAGTAAATCTTGTGATACGGGATGTAAGACTCCCCAGAGGACTGCAACAGCCAGGGCTGAGCACGTGGGCCGTCGTCTACTGCCTCTCAGGGAGCAGGCTCAGAAGTGGAGTGGCCAGGTTTAGAACCCGTGCCCATCTGGTATGTGGCAGAGGCTTAGCCTACTGCGCCACAGTGCCAGCCCTGTCATTAATGACTTTTAAAAGGAAAAGAGATGGAGAAAAAGAAATCCACCAACTATCTCAGCAGAGCTCGAGTTGAGAGCAGCTTCCCATCCCTCTGGGCTGCTTCTTCCTCACTGTGCAGCCTGCAAGACTTTGGTTTATTTATTTGAAAGGCAGAAAGGTTCACTCCTAAATGCCTGTTAGGACCAGACCTGGGCCAGGCCAAGGCCAAGAGAGTGAGACTCCAGCCGGGCCTTGCCCATGTCTTTGCGCTGCCACCTGCTGCCCCCCAGGCTGCCTGTGTCAGGCGGGGCACATCCTTCCCCGTGCTCGAGGCCCGCTGGGGCTGGGCTGGGGCGCTGTCTGGCCCCGGACGCCCTAGCTGAGCTGCCCACCCCCTGTCTCCCGCCGGCCGCAGGCTGCATGCAGGGCATGGTGCCCTACCTGCCCGAGCTGATCCCGCACCTCATCCAGTGCCTGTCGGACAAGAAGGCTCTGGTCCGCTCCATCGCCTGCTGGACGCTGAGCCGCTATGCACACTGGGTGGTCAGCCAGCCTCCCGACATGCACCTCAAACCTCTGATGACCGAGCTGCTGCAGCGCATCCTGGACGGCAATAAGAGGGTGCAGGAGGCAGCGTGCAGGTGATCCTTGACCCCTGACCCGAAAGCCCTCCCCTCCCCCCCAGCTGCTCTCCGGGATATGATGACACCTGTGACTGCTGACATGGCCCTGATGGTTCTTGTATTCGTACTGGCTGATCCCAAGTGCGCATCCCCTGGTGGCCCCCCTGGCCCAGTGCCACCTGCTGGGCCCCACTAAAGACCCTTGCCCTACCCTGTCCACCACCAGTGCCTTCGCCACCCTGGAGGAGGAGGCCTGCACAGAGCTGGTGCCCTACCTCAGCTACATCCTGGACACCCTTGTCTTCGCCTTCGGCAAGTACCAGCACAAGAACTTGCTCATCCTCTACGACGCCATCGGCACCCTGGCTGACTCTGTGGGCCACCACCTCAACCAGCCGGTGAGACGCCACGGGGTGACCCTGCCATTCCCGGCCCAGGCCAGGCATAGGGCCGTGTGAGCGCGGCAAGCAGACAGGCGCCCGGCCCCGCCCTTGCCCTGCTCCCTGTCTAGCAGTGGGAGAGACGTTTATGAGACAGTGTTTAGGTAAGTGCTGTGTTGGGGGTGGTCCTTAGCCACAGCAGTGACCCCAGACCTCATCTGTCAAGTCACCAGGTGCCCCTGCCAGCCAGGGTGCCCCAACTTCCTGCCCCCCTCCCCGTCCCTGGCCAGGAGTACATCCAGAAGCTGATGCCGCCACTGATCCAGAAGTGGAATGAGCTCAAGGACGAGGACAAGGACCTCTTCCCGCTGCTGGAGGTGAGCGGGGCTCCAGGCCTCCCCGCAGCCCTCCCCCTCTCCCCACCCCCGGCCCCAGTCAACGAACCTCCTCCCTGCCAGTGCCTGTCCTCGGTGGCCACCGCCCTGCAGAACGGCTTCCTGCCCTACTGCGAGCCCGTGTACCAGCGCTGCGTCACCCTGGTGCAGAAGACCCTGGCCCAGGCTATGGTGAGCGCCCCTGCCCCCCACTCCCCACCCCATTATGGCCGGTGCGGTGCCCTGACCCCGCCTGCCCCCCCGTGTCCAGATGTACACCCAGCACCCGGAGCAATACGAGGCCCCTGACAAGGACTTCATGATCGTGGCGCTGGACCTGCTCAGCGGCCTGGCCGAGGGCCTGGGCGGCCATGTGGAGCAGCTGGTGGCCCGCAGCAACATCATGACCCTGCTCTTCCAGTGTATGCAGGTGGGTGGGGCGCTGGGGACAGGGCCGAGTCCCGGCCGCCGCAGTGGTCCCCACCGAGGGGGTGGGCATGCACGTGTGGGGGTGGCCCACAAGATGGGGAATAGTCTCATTCCCGAAGCAGCTCGCGCTGGAAATGCGCGGTAATGCGCTCTTGTGGATCCCTCCCCTCGCCCCAGTACCAGAATCCGTGCGTGCTCCAGGGTGCTCTGTACCAGGGCGTGGGGTTTGCACGGGGCTGGGCAATCGTGCAGACCCGAAGCCACCTCTGGAGAACGTAGTGTTGCTGTGGATTTCTTCACCTCAGCGGCCATCCTAGCATGACCTTTTCACCTCCTCCCACAACACAGAACATGGTCAGCCGCTGTCAGACCATGTTGTTTCCAGAGTCATGAAATGGCAGAATCCATGGCGTGTTCAGGACGGAACAGATAGACACAGGGAGACAGACTCGTCTCCCCTCCGTTGGGTCACTCCCCAGAGGCCCACGATGGCCTGGGCTGTGTGCCCAGGTCTGCCCATGTCCCTGAGCGCTCACTGCTGCCTCCCAGGGTGTGCATTCGCAGGGAGCTGGGCATCTTAACTTGCATCGCAGCCCCTTCCAGTGTTTTTGGGCTGTGCTGAACCTGTGCCAACTGGGAGCCAACTTGTCTGTCAGACAGGAGCAGGGCCCTCGGCAAAGTCTGAGCCGGGAGCCTGCGTGCTGGGCGGGGTCAGGACGGGGGGCAGGCACTGTGCCCCCGCAGCTGCCTGTCACACTGACCCCAGTCCAACCCCTCAGGACTCCATGCCCGAGGTCCGACAGAGCTCCTTTGCCCTCCTGGGAGACCTCACCAAAGCCTGCTTCATCCACGTCAAGCCCTGTATCGGTACAGTACCCACCGTGGCCCCCGCCCCCGGCCCCAGCCTCCCGTGATGCAGAAATGCCCTGGGATGACCATGACCTGCCGGGTTGTATTCGTACTGTCTGACGGAGGCCTGCCTGGCCAGGCCCCGGGGCGCCCCCTGGCGGCTGTCTTGCTCAGCACCCCCGTTTCTCTCCCCACCAGCTGAGTTCATGCCCATCCTGGGCACCAACCTGAACCCCGAGTTCATCTCCGTCTGCAACAATGCCACGTGGGCCATTGGCGAGATATGCATGCAGATGGGTAAGGGCTTCTCCCCATTGGTTCTTCCTGGCTTGGGGCGGGGCAGGAGCTGGTTCTGACTGGCAGCTGGCCCTGAGGGCCACCCTCTGAGTTTTTTCCTCAGGGGCAGAGCCAATAAAAAAAAAAGCTGAGAGGCTGTTTGATTGGCTTCTCCAAAGAGGCAGGGCCAGAGGGCTGTTCTGATGGGACCTGCTCATGCTACTGGCTGAAAGGCCCACTGGGATTGGTTGGGTGGCTTTGGGTGCTTTCCCAGGGGGTGGGGACTCCAGAGTAGTGTCTGGTGTTTTGGGAGGAGGGGCACAGCCCGCTGGGGTTGGTGAGCTGGGAGGGGGGGAGTGGGCTGTGACAGGCGGGGCCCCCAGGCGCCGAGATGCAGCCCTACGTGCAGATGGTCCTCAACAACCTGGTGGAGATCATCAACCGGCCCAACACGCCCAAGACGCTGCTGGAGAACACAGGTGCGCAGGCCCGGGCTGGCGGGGCGGGGCGGGGCGCCCCGCGAAGAGCCCCGCGTGGGGCTGGGAGAGCTCGGGGTGCGGGCTGGCCGCAGGAGCCACTCCCTTGGGGCCCATGGGGCGGGGCTCGGGGCCTCGTACCAGAGGCCCCGCCACGTACCGTCCCGGGGCCACTCGGGGTTGCAGGTCGCCTGACGAGCCCCTCTGCCATTCCAGCCATCACCATCGGCCGCCTGGGCTACGTGTGCCCGCAGGAGGTGGCGCCCATGCTGCAGCAGTTCATCCGGCCCTGGTGTGTGCCTGCCGCGGGGTGGGCGGGGCCTCCCAGCAAGCCCCGCCTCCTCCCCCTTGCTCACCTGGCCGCCTTCCCGCAGGTGCACCTCCCTGAGGAACATCCGGGACAATGAGGAGAAGGACTCGGCCTTCCGCGGCATCTGCGTGATGATCGGCGTGAACCCCGGCGGCGTGGTGCAGGTCGGGACAGCCGGGGCTGCGCGGGCGGCGGGGCGGGGCCCGGGCGGCCCCTCACCTGGGCCCCCTCGCGTTCTAGGACTTTATTTTCTTCTGCGACGCTGTAGCCTCCTGGGTGAGCCCGAAGGACGACCTCCGGGACATGTTTTATAAGGTGAGGAGGCCCCGGGGGGCCAGGCGGGGCTGGGAGGGGCGGGGGGACCCGCCTCTCACCCCCTCCCCGCTCCCTGCTCCCCGCAGATTCTCCACGGCTTCAAAGACCAAGTCGGCGAGGAGAACTGGCAGCAGTTCTCGGAGCAGTTCCCGCCGCTGCTCAAGGAGAGGCTGGCGGCCTTCTACGGCGTCTAGGCGGCCGGGGGGGGACTTCGCCAGGTGAGCGGGTGGCCCTGGCTGGCGGGGGCCCGGTGCGGGGGGACCCGGGCCCTGACCCTCGGCCTCTGCCCGCAGGTTTCTGTCTGCGTCATCTTCGTCAGAGGGATTGCGGGGGAGCGCGCTGCGTCCGGAGTCGCTGAGCCCTTGGTCGGAGGGGGGTTGGGGAGGAGTGAGCGGGACCCAAATCCAGATGCCGCCTTCCCTGTCGGGTCACCTGCCCGGCCACTGTGGGGGGGCAGGGGGAGGGGCCTCCACGCTCAGCCTACAAAACGGGGAGGGGGGTGGGGCTTGATGGCGGGCGAGAGGGAGGGTACCCCCGACCTCTAAAACCTGGGGTCGTCTCAGGCAGTCCGCTGGGCCAACCACGAGGGCGGGAGAAACCCACAGGGCCGGCCGAATCCGGCCTGGGAGGCGGCGAGGAGGGGGCGGCAGGCGGGGAGGGAGGGGTCCGCGCGACCCCAGCCGGCCGGGTGGGCCGCCGCCCTGCTCCCCGCCTGCATGGAGACTAGTTAGTGAACCCCTGAGTTAACCCGTAAGGCCTTCCGTGTAACCTGCATCTAGAGTTTAAGAAGCTTCTGCTGTTTTTGCCGGAACCGGCGGTGACTGGGGAGGGCTGGGTGGGTTGTGGGGGGGTGGGGCGCCGGGCCTCGGCCGGGACCCCCGGAGGGGGCCGGGGGTGGGGTGGGGAGGAGGGCGGCCGCCTGGGGCCGCCCTTGTCAGCACGTGCACGCTTTGGACCTGCCCCGCACACTTCCTGCGGCAGCCCTGGCCCATGGGTCTCCCTGTCCTTGTTCCCGGTCCCCACCCGGCCAGCTGGGGCCGCGGAGGGGGGCTGGCCTCGGGCCCCCTCTCTCCCTCCCCTGTGCCCCAGCGCAGCGCCCTTGGAAGAGCTGCGGGGGGCGGAACACGAGCCAGAGCACCGGCACCTGGACACCCCCGCGTGTTGCTGCGGCGTCCCACTGATGGCGATGGCAACAGGAAGGAGACCCTGGGGGCGGCAGGAGGGGACGGGGGCGTGTCCCCCAGCCCCCCAAGTTACACACTTGCTTGGTGGCTCTGGGACTTCTGACCCACTGAAGTGCCCAGCGCGCCCCGTGCGCTCCCCGGCCCAGACTGCTGGGACTGGCTGGGGAGGTGGGCTGCGGCCCCGGGGGCGGGGCTCCTGGCGGGGGCCCCCGTGGGCCCGGAGGGGGGCCAGCAGCACCCCCCTTCTGGGTGTCCCCACCCTTTATTTTCTTTTTTCTTTTCCCCTTGCCTACTTTCTATTTCTCTGGGGGCTTCTGATCTGGAGTTTGGCGGGAGTCCTGCAGCATCCATTCCTGCCGGGGGCCCTGGACCCCCGCCCCGCCCCGCCCCGCCCCGCGCTCTTCTCCGCCAGGTCAGGCCCCGTCTCCACCCGCTAGGGGGCGCTCAGTGCACATTCCGTAACGCAGGTGTCTCCTCCCCCGCTCCCTGCGAAGCTCCAGCGGGTCTCTGGAAAGCCATTTGTCAATTTTTTTTTTCTTTTTCAAAACTACCGTTTAATTTCCTGGTAATTCCAGTTCTTTCGGAGCGACCTCCGCTGGGTTTTGGGGTGTGCGGATGGATTGGCCGTCTGTTGAGATTGGTACCAAAAAAAAAAACCACCCTCGCTGCCCACGACGGGGGAGGGGCACTCCAACTACCTTCAGAGAAGGGGAGCCTGGTTCTTCTAGTTCCTTTTTTTTTTTTTTTTTTTTAAAGAAAGCTATTTAATTTTTTTAATTTATTTTTAGTTGGTTTTTGCACAACGAAGTTTCAGCTTCTCAACCTTCTTCCCTGCCCAGGGCTGTGGACCCAACAACACTGGCCTCGATCCGCAGTCTCCCCCCGCCCCACCCCGGTCCTCGCGCCCCCTTCCCTCGTCGCCCTCTCCCCACTGCGGGCTCCCGGGTCTGTCCATTTGTTACCGTGCTGTGCTGGGGACTGGCGCCGAGGTGGCGTTGAGATTCCACTTGTGTAGAACTTTGTTGAGTAAAAAAGATCAGTTTCTTGTGAAACCTTGGTCTCCGGCCTCCCGTGTCCTTGGTTTGGTGGGGGGTGGCGGGGCCGGGCGGGGCGTGCTGGAACATTCTAGAAGCCAGATGCACGGAACCCAGGTCAGGGAACGCCCCAGGGGCCGGGAAGCAAGCGTTAACTCCCCGCAGCAAGCCCGAGCACGCTCGGTTTCCCGCGGGCCGATAGACGTCATCAGGCGGCGCCGGAAGTGGTCTCGCGCTGCCTAGGAGACTGGACGCGGGGGCCGGCGGCGGACTGGGCCGGGCCGGCCGCGCCCACCCGGTCGCCATGGAGCTGCCTCCTGGGCCCTGCGATGATCCCCGAGGCTGGGACGATGACTCGGAGCCGGACCCCGACCCCGACCCCGACGCGCAGGCCGAGGCCTACGTGGCCCGCGTGCTCAGTCCACCCAAGTCCGGGGTGGCGCCCCCGCGCGCTTCGCTGCTGCCCACGCCCGCCCCGTCTCCGGGCGCGCTGGAGCCCCGGACCGGGCCCAGAGTCCCTGCCGTGGGCGCGCCGGGCCTGCTGAGCCTTCCTCCGGAGCTGCTGCTCGAGATATGCGCCTACCTGGACGCGCGCCTCGTGCTCCACGTCCTGCCGCGCGTGTGCCACGCGCTGCGCGATCTCGTGCGTGACCATGTCACCTGGCGGCTACGCGCGCAGCGCCGTGTGCGCGCTCCCTACCCGGTGGTGGAAGGTGCGCGCGACCTCGGGGGGCCGGGGGCGCCCGCTCAGGTCTAGCTTGGGAGAGGGGGATGAAGATCCCCGGGGCTGCCGTGGGCACAGCCCCTGGCGCGGGCTTCGGAATGGCATAGACTTGGCTGGAAGCTGAGGTTGGTGGACGGTGGTGAAAACCGACGGCAGGCAGGTGGGATCCCTGATTCTCAGGTTTGAAGTCTGGGGGTACCAAGGTACCCTGGGCGGGGGGAGGTGGTGCTGGACGCTGGCATTGGAAGTCTAAGGGCTGTGGGGGAATCCACACTAGTCCAAGAATCCTCTCGCTCTGGGTTTAGCCCAGAAGCTGCCAGCAGCCACCAGTTGAGGCCAAAACCCTTGATCCCAGGCTGGGGGATGAGGCAGGGCCCATGGTCTAGAGCCTGCCACTCTAAAACCAAGCGAATCTTTAGGGGCTGAGATTCCCTGACCCCAGCAACCACACAGGCCTTTGATGCCTGGGTCTGGCCAGGCATCTGGGGTAGGGGCTGGTGGTCACTCCTCCGGAGTTCCTGAGTTCACCAGTCCCTGGCAGCTTGGGAATTTTGGCCTTGAACTGATATATATATATATATATATGTATGTATGTGTGTGTATATATATATATATGTATATATATGATTTGTTTATTTGAAAGAGTTACAGAGTAGGGGGAGAAATCTTCCAATCCCCAAATAGCTGCAATGGCCAGGGCTAAACCAGGAGCTTCTTCCGGGTCTCCCACGTGGGTGCAGGGACCCAAGCACTTGGGCCACCTTCCACTGCTTTCCCAGGCCACAGCAGGGAGCTGGATCAGAAGTGGAGCAGCCGGGACTCGAACCGGCACCCATATGGGATGCCAGCGTTCCTGATGGTGGCTCCACCTGCTGTGTCACAGCGCCGGCTCCCCAGCTGTTAATGTTGATGGTGACCCTGGGACTCAGGCCCTGAGCCGACACGAGTGACGGGTTAGGCGGTGGATCACCTGCCATTGCCGAGGTGGCGGGGGCTCCTGGGACACTCCCTGGGTCAGGCTCTGCCACACAGCTTGACGAGCAGCTCTCAACTCTGCAGTGTCTGCCGAGGTCCTTGCACCCCCACACCACCAAGCATTTCCCCGGATCCTGCCCTGATGGCCAAGGCGGGAGATGCTGGGCTGGGGGTGGGGGGGGGAGGCAGGAGCTCAGCGTCCCGAGGGATGGGGCCTGGGAAAGCAGGTATGGAGCCCCCAGTTTTTGGAGATCGTTGTGAGGCATAGGGCCAGACCCGCATGGGTGTTAGGTGGGTGCATGATCTGCAGCCCAGAGCCTGGCCTTTGCCCACCCGGGCCCCTGCGCGTGGTGTCCCACAGAGGAGGATTTTGACTGGCCAGCAGCCTGCATTGAGCTGGAACAGCACCTGTCGCGCTGGGCAGAGGATGGGCGCCGGGCCGAGTACTTCTGCCTGGCGGATGGGCACTTCGCGTCCATCGACTCGGTGCTGTTGCTCCAGGTGAGGCGGGAGTGGAGGGGTGGGGGGTGGGCTGGGGGCGGGGCCGGCGGAGCCAGCCTGCGCAGCCTCACCCATGTCCTCCCCACCCCCCCACCCCCTTCACTCGTTGCCCAGGGCGGGACTCTCTGCCTGTCGGGCTCCCGGGATCGCAACGTCAACCTGTGGGACCTGCGGCAGCTGGGGACGGAGCCCAGCCGGGTCCTGGTCAAGGCCTTGGGCACCCAGCAGAACAGCACCCACAAGGTGAGCCAGGGCGGGTGGGCATGGAAGCAGGAGGCCCGAGGAGCCTGTTTTTGTGGTTAAGGGCGGCGGCGGGGGGGGGGGGGGTCTTCCATCTGCTGGGTCACTCCCCAAATGCCCACCACAGCCAGCCCTGGGCCAGGCTGAAGCCGGGAGCCGGGAGCTCCATCCGGGTCTCCCACGTGGGTGGCAGGGGCCCAAGCCCTGGAGCCCTCCCAGGGTGCGCGTTAGCAGGAAGCCTGAATTGAGCTGGGACCTGAGCCCAGGCTCCGACACTGGATGTGTATGTATCTCAAGTAGTATCTGAACCACAGTGCTAAAATCCCATACCCTGGTTTAAAAAAAAAATCTGTGCAGAGTATTTTATATTTTCTTTAAAAAAAAAATTTTTTTTTTTTTGATAGGCAGAGAGAGAGACAGAGAGAAAGGTCTTTCTTTTCCGCTGGTTCACCCCCCAAATGGCCGCCATGGCTGGCGCACTGCGGTGATCTGAAGCCAGGAGCCAGGTGCTTCTGGTCTCCCATGGGGTGCAGGACCCAAGCACCTGGGCCATCCTCCACTGCACTCCCGGGCCACAGCAGAGAGCTGGCCTGGAAGAGGGGCAACCGGGACAGAATCTGGCGCCCCAACCGGGACTAGAACCCGCGGTGCCAGCGCTGCAGGCGGAGGATTAGCCTAGTGAGCCGCGGCGCTGGCCCTAGAGTATTTTCATAATATGCACTTTCTAGGAACTTTAAAAAAAAGTTTATTTGAAAGGCAGAGAGAGAGAGAGAGAGAGCGAGAATGAGTCAGATCTTCCATCTGCTGGTTCACTTCCCAAATGGTGGCAACAGCCAGGGCTGCGCCAGGCCGAAACCAAGAACTCCGAACTCCGTCCTCGTCTCCCTGCATGAGTGGCAGGGTCTCAGGACTTGGGCCATAATTCATTGCTTTCCCAGGTGCTTTAACAGGAAGCTGGAACTCTGCCTTTCAAACAAATAGATAAATCTTAAACAAACAAACAAACAAACAAAAAAACCAGGAAGCTATATCAGAAGTGGAGCAGCCGGGACTTGAACCGGCACCCATATGGGATGCTGGCACTGCAGGCAGTGGATGCTACCAGGCAGCATGCCACCACACTGGCCCTGAGATAACATTTTAACCTGCATTACCAAGAATTTTGTATGTGTGAATTACGAGCAAGGCCACTGGGCGGAAGGGGCACCTTCCCCTCCCGGTAGCTGGGGCCGTCAGGGACAGCGGCGCGGGATTGCTGCTCCCTGGCTGTGTGACCTCAGGTGAGCGGACAAGCTCTCTGAGCCCCCGGTCCAGCCTGTCGGGACCCCTTGACTTCAGAGGGGGGGGGTGTCGTCGAGGAACAAGTTAGCCAGCAGGGGGCGCTCTCGGCGCCTCCACCTCCGAGGTGGGGGCCTTTCTCTGGTTCTGTGGATAAGGAAACCGAGAGAGGCAGGGTGATTTGATTGGCTGGGATCCTGGCGGGCAGGCCTCACGTCAGCCACGACCTGCGCTGAGCTCCCACGGGACCCCGGGTTCGAGTCCCGGCTCCGCTCCTGACGCCAGCCTCCTGCAGCTGCGCACCCTGGGAGGCAGCAGGCCATGGCCCAGGCACTTGGGTCCCTGCCACCCACGTGGGAGACCTGGGTCAAGTTTCAGGCTCCTGGCTTCGGCCTGGCCCACCCTCATCTGGCGGGGAGACTTCCTCTCTGTTTCTGTCTCTCTCCGTCTCTCCGCCTTTCAAATAAACAAAGTGGGCAGTTGGAAGGGAAAAGTTGTGTGGCTCTGGGTGGGTGTATGGACCTCTCTGAGCCTCCTTTGCAAAAACAAAAACAAAACCAAAAAAACCAGGAATGCCAAAAAACCAGGAATGCCGCAGCCCCGTGTGCCCACGGGCACAGCTCAGGGAGGATGCCCCGAGGGGAGCTGGGGACCCCCGTGTGACCCCTGCGGCCTCCCCGCCCCCAACAGGGCTGGGTGTGGTCATTGGCCGCACAGGATCACCGCGCCTGCTCGGGCTCCTGGGACAGCACGGTGAAACTCTGGGACATGGCAGCCGATGGGCAGCAGTTCGGCGAGATCAAGTGTGAGATGTCCCGGGTAGGGGCCCCGGGTGGGGAGGGGGCCCTGGCCGGCCGCCACCCCAGCCCCGTGGTCCGTGTGTCCCCAGGGGCAAGGCGGCCGTGCTGTGCCTGTCTTACCTGCCTGACATCCTGGTGGCCGGCTCCTACGACAAGAGGGTGACCATCTACGACCCCAGAGGTGGGCCCAGGTCTGGGTCGAGAGAGAGAGGGAGAGGGAGGGAGAGGCCTGGGCCGTGCTGGGCATCACGGAAGCCTAGAGGCGGGGGGCAGAGGAAGTCACGGGGCTGGTCCCCCGGGCTTGGGTTAGAATCCTGGCTCCCCCGCAGGCCAGCCTGGGGGAGGGCTTCAGTTTCTCCTGTGGGGCCCAGCGGGATGGGAGAGGGGGTGGGGGGCAGGGGGCGGGGCTTGATAAGTTAGTTTCTGCCACAGACACCTGGAACCCACTCTGCCGTGGTTCATTTTTTAAAATCTGTCCTTATTTTGTGGAATTGGGCCAGCGAGCGAGCACGCCTTATCCAGGCAGAGCTGGAGGCGGGGCAGGCGGCCTGGGGGTCAGGGCCGGGCTGGGGCAGCAGAGAGGCGGGTCTCCTACCTTGGTGCGGAGTGGGGGTGAGGTGGGGGTCTGGGATCCTGGGTCCAGCTGGGGCATGGGGTGGGGGCGGCGGCGAGGTGGGTCAGCTGTCACTGGGCCTGGGCGCTCTCTCCCAGGGGTTCTGACGGCCCGCTCCCCACGCCCACGCAGCCGGCCCGGCCCAGCTGCAGAGCCGGCGGCTGCACTCGAGCGCGGTGCTGGCGCTGCTGGCCGACGAGCGGCACATCATCTCGTGCAGCGAGGACCACACCCTGGCGGTGTTCGACCGCCGCGCCAACAGCGTCCTGCAGCGGCTGCAGGTGCGGCCCCGCCCACCCAGGGGCCTGGTGGGGCGTGGGCGGGGCTGCAGCCTGGCCCCGCCCTTCCTGAGCCGTTTCTCCGCCCACGCCCCGCCCACAGCTGGACTCCTCCTACCTGCTCTGCATGTCCTACCTGGGGCCGCAGCTCTGGGCCGGCGACAGCCAGGGCCTGCTGCACGTCTTTGCCAACCGCGACGGCTGCTTCCAGCTTGTTCGGGTGTGCCCCCCCCGGGGGAAACCCCTGCTCACCCCTCTCCCCCGGGGGGCCTCTGGTCCCCTCGCGTCCTCGGGGTGGGGTGGGGTGGGCGGGGCCTCTCCTGAGCCTCCGCCTCTTGCTCCACCGCCCACAGTCCTTCGACGTGGGCCACAGGTTCCAGATCACAGGGATCAAGCACTCGCTGGGCGCGCTGTACACCACGTCCACCGACAAGACGATCCGGGTGAGGCCCCGCCCCTGCCTGCCCCCCGCGCGCCCACGAGCCCCGGCCGGGCTCCTGACCTTCCGCCCCCCACCCCCGGACCCCGTGTTGCCCAGGTGCACGTGCCCACAGACCCGCCGAGGACCATCTGCACCCGGAGCCATCACAACGTCCTCAACGGGGTGAGCCCTGCCCCACGCGCCCGGCGCTGCCCGCCCTGCCCGCCCCTGCCCGGCCTGCCCGGCCTGCCCGCCCTGCGCTCTGACACCTTCCGTCCCTGCCTCCCAGATCTGCGCGGAGGGCAACCTGGTGGTGGCCGCCTCCGGGGGCCTGTCGCTGGAAGTCTGGAGGCTGCAGGCGTGAGCGGCCCTGGGTGTGTGCCTGGCCTCCGGTTGTCTGCGGGGACCTTCCTCCCCACCGTTGGTGCTGCCTCTGCACCCCCACCCCCACCCCCAGCCCGGGCCCCCGCGTGCCCGGCAGGTCTGGGGGGCACAGAGAATTCGGGCCGTGGTTGGATGTTGTCCCTGGGCCAGGCCTATGCCGCCTGGGGAGGTGACCTGGGGGTCTTGGCCCACCCAAGGGGGCCACCCTGCACCCTGGGTGCCCTGATTTGGTTACGATTTGGACAGCCTGATCTGCTGCGGAGACAGCAAAGCAGAAATAAAAAGCCGATGTACAGTGCACAGTGGGCGGGCTTGGGTGCCTTGGAGGTCCCTGTGTGTGTGCGTGTGTGTGTGTGTGTGCGTGTGCGTGTGTGCCCGTGCAAGTGCGCTTGCCTGTGAATATGAAGCCAGAGAATCCCCCCCCCCAGGCCGTGGACACCTGCTCAGGCTGCCAGATGCAGGGGAGGAGGGCGGGCCCAGTGCATGCGTGTGTGCGTGTGCGTGTGTGCAGGCGGAGGAGGGAGCCGGGCCAGGCACCTGGCTGATCCCCTGGGGGTAGGATGGTGGGGGCCTATCGCGGCCCGTCCAGCCAAGAGGAACGTTGAGCGGTGAGTGTTCCCCTCATGTTTATTGAGGTGGTTGTGGGGTGGTGGCACTGTGCCGGGGTTCCCGGGAGTCACAGGATGGCACAGGGCTTCTTCTCCTTGAAGGGGTTGGTGGCGGCCGGGATGCCCACAAGGAAGGGGTCGCTCTTGGCCTGCTCCGTGCAGAACTGCAGTAGGTCAGCGGCCGCCTTGGACACCTGCAGACCAGGCCTGGTCAGCCTGCCCCTGGCGGGGGTCAGGGAGAAAGGCACCTGCCGCCGTCCCCCTGCTTACCCCGGGCGCCTGCCCCGCCCCGCCCCTCACCTTCACACGGTCAATGCCGGCCTCCATCCGTAGCTGCTCCACTGCCCGGCGGGCTTGCCCGATGTCGCTGCCGATGGCTACCTTGCCCGACATCTGGGGGAGGGCCGGCAGGGCTGTGAGCAGCGGGCCCAGTCCCGTGTCCCCCCGTGGGAACTGTGGCGTAGGGGTGGCCGCTCCCCCCGCCCCCAGGTCGGGCCTGCTGACCTTCAGCTGAGGGCTCCCGAAGATTCCCGAGGCTGATTTCTCCCGTGGCGGCTGCCGGCTCTGGTTCCCTCCCTCCCCCTGCCCAGCCCCTTGTCTCCCTCCCCCACCCCTGCAGAGACTTTGAAGCCAGGGCTCTCCGGGAAGTGAAATGTCACCAGCGGCGGCAGCAGCTGCCGCGGCCAGCGGAGGGGGTCCCTGCCCCCCCCCGCCCAGGCCCCGTGGCTTTGGCCGGGGGGACCAAGCCAAAGAAGAAAGGGGAGGGGGGGACCCTGGCCTCTCTGACCTGCTGGGTCCCCTGCTGGCTGGCCCCAGGGCACCTGCTCTGCCTGGCAATGCCAGAGCCCCAGGCAGCCTGCCTCCTGTCTGTCCCGCCCCGCCCCGCGGGGAGCTCTTCGCAGAGGGGGCTCCGGCCACACTTCGCTGTTTCCCATGTTCCCCGGGACCCCAGCCCCAGCCTCCTCTTCCCTGAGCTCCGGGCCCCTTTCTCTCCCTTTCTCTCTCTCTCTCCTGGGTCACATGCCCTCACCCCCCCCCCCCAGGCAAGTTCACCACCATCTGTGTAACTTCAAGCCCAAATCTCCAGCTCCTCCTGCTCTCTAGTACCCTAGTGCCCCCTCAATTCCATCTCAAGTGCCCGTCAGACCAGCTTCAAGTCAGGAGCTCAGCCTGGCCTCTGCTGTCACCGTGGGCGCCTCCTGCCCCCCCCCCCCCCCCCCGTGTCCCCTCTGCAGGGGGGCCCCTCCTCCTTGGCTGTTCCAGTCCAGGCAGCCAGGGGGCTCCATGAAGAAGTGAGGACTCAGGCTTTCGCACCAGCATCCCACCTCCGAGTCCCGGTTTCCCACCCAGCTCCCTGCTAATGCTCCTGGGAAGGCAATGGAAGACGGCCCAAGTGCTTGGGCCCCTGCCACCCACGGGGGAGACCTGGAAGAAGCTCCTGGCTCGCGCTCGGCCCAGCCTGGCCCTGGCTGCTAATGGCCACTGGGGGAGTGAACCTGCTGATGGAGGTTTTCTCTATCAGCTTTCAAAAGTAAATAGATAAACAAGCCCAGCCTCACAGGCTGCTGCCTGGCATCGCCAAATACCCCAGGCTGGGGGGGGGGGGGGGCTCATGCAACAGCGCTGTCTCTTGGAAGCCTGGGGAGTAGAAATTGAAGACCTAGGAGCTGGCGGGGCTGGAGGCCTCTCTTCTGGACCTCTCTCTTCTGGCTGTACCCCACCCCCTCCGTGTCTCTGTGTATGCAAATTTCCTCACAGGGACTCCGCATGGACCCTCCCTAATGGCCTCCTTCTAAGTCTATTATTGATTTTTTAAAGATGTATTTGTTTGTTTGTTTGAAAGAGTTACATAGAGAGGAGAGAGAGATAGCTTCCATCCATTAGTTCACTCCCCAGATGGCTGCAAGAGCCAGGGCTGGATCAGGCCAAAGCCAGGAGCCAGGAGCTCCATCCGGGTCTCCCACATAGGTGCAGGGGCCTGAGCACTTGAGCCATCCTCCACTGCTTTCCCAGGCCAGAAGCAGGGAGCTGGATTGGAAGAGGAGCAGCCAGGACTGGAACCTGTGTCCCTATGGGATGCTGGCGCTGCGGGCAGAGGCTTAGCCCACTATGCCCACAGAGCCGACCCCTGTTGTCCTGTTTTCTGCCTCACTGGGTCTCGTTAATCAGTAAATCCCCAGCGTACACAGCCAAGCCCTCATAAACCGCAGAGTGGGTGGACAAAGGGGTCCCCTCCGTGCCCTGCACAAGGTGGGTTAGGAGGGTGTATGAGGTGCTGGCCTCCCAGTCGCTCTGCGGGGTGTGTAGGGGGCGCTGCTGTCCGCCCTGAATCCCAGAGGAGGCTCCTGAGCCAGAGGAAGTCAGAGAAGGCTTCCCGGAGGTGACGGCTGCATCCACAGCGGGAAAGAAACGGGGCACCTGCAGCGCGTGGAGGCTCTGGACACTTGGGAGGGAACGAATGGGGAGCATTATCCCCACTGACGGGAGAAACTCGAGGCTGAAACTGTCTTGTCGACCCCAATCCTGTCTGACAGCTCAGAAGCTCAGAGCACAGAAACATAGGTAAGCGCCGCGCCACGCCACGAGTGTCCAGCAGGTGGCGCCAAAGCAGGAATGTCCAGGCACGCCTAAAGGCCTTACGGCTCCTCACGGCTTCCGTAGTACGGAACACGCGTGCCAAGATGGCGGCGCCCTAGGCCGCAGGAGCCAGAGTATCATGTGACTCAGCAACTTCCGTTGATCCCCTCTCGGATCTTCCCCGAGCCCTACTTCCTGCGCACTTGCGGAGACGCGCGTGCCGGGGCCTAGCGCGCTTCGAGGCCGCCGTGGGCCCGGCCCGGGTGGTGGCTCAGCCTTGAGAACCCTGCCGCGGGGGGCATGGAGGGCTCCCCGGAGGGGGAAGCGCCCGCCGCGGCGCTGGCCGCTGTGCTGAAGCACAGCTCGGCGCTGCCGCCCGAGAGCGCTCAGGTCCGGGGCTACGACTTCAACCGCGGCGTAGATTACCGCGCGCTGCTGGAGGCCTTCGGCACCACCGGCTTCCAGGCAACCAACTTCGGGCGCGCGGTGCAGCAAGTCAACGCCATGGTGAGGCCCGGGGCGGGACTTCCTGGCCGGAAGGGGCGTGGCCTCTAGGAGAGCCAATAGGGTTCCTCCAGGGCGTGGCTGCCAGGAGGACGGAGGGGGTGTGTCGCCCGAAGGGGCGGGGCCCACCCTGGGCGGGAACCGACTGCGAAGCGGCCTTTGCCCGTAGCGTCTGTAGGGGGCGGGGCCTGATTTTTGGTAGGAGATGGATTCTAGGCGAATTTTTGAGAGACAGAAACGGGGAACTCCGTCGGGGCCTCCCACGCGGGTGCAGGGTCCCCGGCACTCGGGCCGTCACCTGCTGCTTTCCTAGGCGCATTTGCAGGGAGCTGGATCGGAAGCGGAGAGCCTGTAGGGCGGGATTTTTAGTCCCCAGTAGAAGTGGCCCCTTCTAGAAAGTGCATTCTCATTTCCGGAACTCACCTTGGGGGGTCCCTGGCGTTTGCCGCCGGAAACTTAACCTGACCCCGGCCCCTGCCCCAAGATTGAGAAGAAACTGGAGCCGCTGTCGCAGGATGAAGATCAGCACAAGGACCTGACCAAGAGCCGCCGCCCGCTGACCGGCTGCACCATTTTCCTGGGCTACACGTCCAACCTCATCAGCTCAGGCATCCGGGAGACCATCCGCTACCTCGTGCAGCACAGCATGGTGGGACTGCGGCCTTGGGCAGTCATTCTTAAAGATTTACGTAGTTATTTGCAAGGCAGAGTGACAGATCTTCCATCTGTTGGCTCACTCCCCAAATGGCTGCAGCAGCTTGGGCTGGGCCATGCTGGAGCCAGGAGCTCCATCCGGGTCTCCCATGTGGGTGGCAGGGAGCCAAGTATTTGAGCCAGCACCTGCTGCCCCCTGCCCAGGATGCCCTAAAACAAGAAGTAGAGCAGCCAGGGCTGCACTCTGAGGGGGGGGGATACAGGCATCCGGAAGTGGTGCCTGTCCCCCAAAGTGGCCAAGCTCTTTCCTGGGGATCAGGGTTGAGGCTGAGTTGGGGACCGTTCCCTGGGAGTGGGGCGGGGGCCCAACTGCACTGCCTTCGAGCTGCAGGTGGACGTCCTGGTGACCACGGCTGGAGGTGTGGAGGAAGACCTCATCAAGTGCCTGGCGCCCACGTACCTGGGCGAGTTCAGCCTCAGAGGGAAGGAGCTCCGGGAGAATGGGATCAACAGGTTAGGGGAGGGGGCATCCCTGTGCACCGCTGGGGGGGGTGCTGAGGCTGGGGTGGGGGCTGATGGCCGCGTGCCTTCTGTCCCCAGGATCGGGAACCTGCTGGTGCCCAATGACAATTACTGCAAGTTTGAGGACTGGCTGATGCCCATCCTGGACCAGATGGTGCTGGAGCAGAACACAGAGGTGGGGGCTGAAGAGTCTTGGGGGGTGGGGAATGGGGTCCAGTGTGGTGCTGGGGGTTAGAGGAGCGTGGGCTGACTGCTGACATCCCCCCTCCCAGGGTGTGAAGTGGACGCCTTCCAAGATGATTGCCCGGCTCGGCAAGGAGATCAACAGCCCGGAGTCTGTGTATTACTGGGCACAGAAGGTGAGGGCCGCTAACACACAGCGTGGCCTCGCCGCTCTGAATTCCAGCAGTCTGACAAGTAACAAGAGATACCGGTGTGAGCTTCCATCCACTGGTGCACTCCCACAAATGGCTGCAACAGCCAGAGCTGGGCCAAAGGCAGAAGCCAGGCGCCTGGAGCTCTACTCGGGTCTCCCAGTGTGGGTGGCGGGGGCCCAGGCACCTGAGCCATCCCTGCTGCCGCTCAGCGCACATGCGCAGGAGCCAGGACTTGAGCTCAGGATGCAGGGGCCTCCTGCCCCGCCCCAGAGTGCCAGGCCGGGGCCAAGTGCTGGGTGTGCGTTTGTCACGTAGGCGCCCTCCTGCGGCAAGCAGAGGGGCCCAGGCAGGCTGCTCCCCAGCCTCAGCCTGGCCCTTCACTGTCTGCCCGCCTGCAGAACCACATCCCCGTGCTGAGCCCGGCGCTGACCGACGGCTCCCTGGGAGACATGATCTTCTTCCATTCCTACAAGAACCCGGGCCTGGTCCTGGACATCGTGGAGGGTGAGGCGCGCTGGGGCCCTGGGAGTGGCAGAGGGAAGGTGGGTGCTGGAGGGCTGAGGCCGGGGCCTGAGCGCGCTCTCTGCCCGCAGACTTGCGGCTCATCAACACGCAGGCCATTTTCGCCAAGCGCACGGGGATGATCATCTTGGGCGGCGGCATGGTCAAGCACCACATCGCCAACGCCAACCTGATGGTGAGCGCGGGAGGGCGTGGGAGCCCACTGGGCGCAGCGCCCCCAGGGCGACGGGTGCGGAGAGGAACAGGCCAGGACCCCCGCTCTCCCGGGGCTGCGGGCCAGCGAGCGATGCACGTGTCCGGGCGAGGGAGGCCCCTGGGAAGCGGGCCAAGTGCCCTGCGTGGGTCTCTAGCTGTGGCTCTAAGCTGGATAGGACCCGACTCGGGCGCTCACTGCTGCCCTCTTGCGGTGGCGCGGGAGCCAGGACCCGACGAGGGGTGGCGGGGATCCCGGAAGCTGGGGCTGACGGGGCTGTCCCGGCCCTGTCCACAGCGGAACGGGGCCGACTACGCCGTCTACATCAACACGGCCCAGGAGTTCGACGGCTCCGACTCGGGCGCCCGGCCGGACGAGGCCGTCTCCTGGGGCAAGATCCGGATGGATGCGCAGCCCGTGAAGGTGAGGGGCGCCCCGGGGGTGCCGTGGCTCCCAGGGCACGGCCAGAGGCCCCGGGGCTCACTCAGGTCCCCGCCGCAGGTCTACGCCGACGCCTCGCTGGTCTTCCCGCTGCTCGTGGCCGAGACCTTCGCCCAGAAGGCCGGTGCCTTCATGTCAGAGAAGAGCAAGGACTGACCGCGGCCCGGGAGCTCCCCCTCCTATTTATTGGTTCCCAGCGGTGTCCGCGCAATAAACGCTCGGCAGTCTCCAGCCCGCGGCCGGGGGCTCCGGGTCAGCCCGTGCCGCCCTCCGCCTCGTAGCCTTCTTCCCGCCAGCACTGGATGCTGCCTGCTATGGCGGCGAGCAGGCAGGGCTCCGTGGGGTGGTAGGCCAGCGACTGCACCACGCCGGAGCCCACGGGCAGGGCCAGCGCCAGGGCGCCCTGGAGAGGGGGAGAGCGGAGGTTGGCTGCCAGGAGCCTCCCATAGATACTGCAGGCCGCTGGGGGGCGCTGGCAGGGCCACACGTCTTGGGGGGTGGGGCGACTTCATCTTACAGCCCTTTGTCCCGGCTGCACCTGCCTGCCCCTCCCCCAGCCGCATCATCTCCCCTCCCTCTGCAGCCCACCTACACAAGCTGGGGGGAAGCACCTGTTCTCCTCCTGTCCGCCCCGGGCCTCCAGGGCCTCCAGTCTGGCTGCGATGGTTCGGATATGGTTGAATGGGGTCCTCGCCCCTGCCCCCCCACCCCCCGCAGGGTTCATGTGGCTCAGGGCTTGCGCTGGGGGTGTCCGCACGTGCGTGAGGCGGTTCTGGGGGAGGCTCACCTCCACCAGGTCCCAGAAGAACACCTTCCCGTCCTCCGAGCAGCTGACCACGTGCGTGTCGCGCTCGCTCAGGCAACAGTCCAGCTTGTACTCCTTGTTTTTATGGCCTGTGTACCTGGGAGGGTGGGCGTGGCATCAGGGCGGCGGCCGCCGGGCACCGGGGGAGGGACCCGCGACCCCCCCAGGACTCACTCGCCCAGCATCTCCCCAGTGTCTTTGTCCAGAAGTCGCAATGTGGAGTCCAGGCTGGACACCAGGGTGCACTGCCCGTCCCGGCTGAAGCAGGCGCAGGTGACAGGGCCTGGGGACAGGGGATGGAGGAGGTGTAGGGGCAGCCAAGGTTCCCTTGGCTCCCCCCCCAGCCCTGGCCACACTCACTGCCCACGTAGTCTGAGAAGAGCTGCCCCATCCTCAGGTCGTAGCGCCTCACGCGGCCGTCCACGGAACTGCAGCAGAGGGGGCACGCGGCTCAGGCTCCAGGCCCCCGGCCCCATCGCCATTCATTTCTGCAACTTCCAGCCCCCTGGAGCCCTTCTGGGACCCCCTTTCCTGCGTGTTCCGCACGGGTCTCTGACACAGAACCATCACCCCTGGAGACCCAGGGCGCCCACCTTCAGGGATTCAAGGGTGTTCGGACAGGAAGTGGTGTCTGCAGGGGACGTGGTGTCACCGTTCCCAGGTAGCAGCCCCTCTGTATAGCCTCCACACAGCAAATCCACCGTTTTAGGTATCACAAGTCAGAGAGGGCTTGGGCTGGTGCTGTGGTGCAGAGGGCAAAGCCGCTGCCTGCAGTGCCAGCATCCCATGAGGCACAGGTTCAAGTCCCGGCGCCCATCTTCTCGCCTGTATTTGTGGCACTTGGCTTCAGGCCTGGCTGGGAGGCTGAGTGTGGCAGACACGGGGACCAGCTGTGGGGACTTGGGACCCCATGGCTCTTGGTTGAAGTACCAGAGAAGGTACGGAGGGTGTCTTCCCCGTGGGGAAGAGAAGCTGTGAGTTCCCCGGGAGGACCTATCAGGTGACTTGGGTGTGTATCATGTCTCTGGGGCCAGGTCCTGAGTGGACACCTCGGACTTGGCGGTGATCACGCCAGGCATGGCTCCTACCATCCTGGAGCCACCAGTGACCAAGGTTGATCTAGAAAGCTCTCTGTGAGGAAGTGACCTCTGATCTGAAAGATGGACAGCCCACGGGGGCACCGGTTCAAGTCCTGGCTGCTCCACTTCCCATCCAGCTCTCTGCTATGGCTTGGGAAAGCAGTGGAAGATGGCCCAAGTCCATGGGCCCCTGTACTCGTGTGGGAGACCTGGAAGAAGCTCCTGGCTTCGAACTGGCCTAGCTTCAGCCATTGCGGCCATTTAGAGAGTGAACCAGGGGATGATAGACCTCTCTCTCTGCCTCTCCTCTCTCTGTGTAACTGTGACTTTCAAATAAATAAATACATGTTTAAAAAACCAAAGAACCAGGAAACAGCCAAGTTTCCCAAAGAGGCAAGAAACGTAACCTGATATAACCTGGCACTCAACTAAGCAGTTACTTTTCTACTGATTTTTAAATATTTATTTATTTGAAAGAGTTACAGAGAGAGAGGTCTTCCACCCACTGGGGCTGGGCCATGCTGAAGCCAGGAGCCTGGGGCTTCATCTGGGTCTCCCATACAGGTACAGGGGCCCAATTGTTCAGGCCATCTTCCACTGCTTTCCTAGGCCATGGCAGAAAGCTGGATGGGAAGTGGAGTAGCTGGGACTTGAACCAATGCCCAGAGGGGATACCGGTGTTGTAGACAGTGGCTTAACCTGCTAGACCACAGTCTCATCCCTGGAAAATCCAATCTGCCTTCTGTTCTTCCCTGTTTATAAAACCAATCTCTGCTTAGCTCATAGGAGCTCTCATCCTATTTTACGGAATAAAAGCTTCACCCAATTCTAGAATAGAATATAAAGCCAATTAAAATGATCTTGCAGCTGGGGCCAGTGTTGTGGTCCAGTCCTGGCTGCTCTGCTTCTGACCCAGCTCCCTGCTGACGCGCCTGGGAAAGGAGCAGAAGATGGCCCAAACAGCTGGGCACATGCCACCTATGTGGGAGACTGGGGTGAAGTTCCTGGTTTTGGCCTGGCCCAGCCCTGGCCGTGTGGCCATTTGGGGACTGAACCAGTGGATGGAAGCCCTCTCTCTCTGCCTAAAATAAATAAATCTTTTTAAAAGAAAGTTCTCTTTATCACTCTTTCAAAAAAATAATAAATCTTTCTTTTTGTTACAGAGAGGCAGAGCAGAGAGAGAGGTCTTCCATCCACTGGTTCACTCCCCAGTTGGCCGAAACAGCCGGAGCTGTGCCAATCTGAAGCCAGGAGCCAGGAGCTTCTTCCAGGTCTCCCATGCGGGTGCTGGGGCCCAAGCACTTGGGTCATCTTCTACTGCTTTCCCAGGCCACAGCAGAGAGCTGGATCAGAAGAGGAGCAGCCGGGTCTTGAACTCGCCCCCATATGGGATGCCAGCACTGCAGTTGGGGACTTTACCCGCTATGCCACAGCACCAGCCCCTAAAAATAAATCTTAAAAAAAAAAAAAAACAAAAAACAAAACGCCGAGGGGTCCATGTTGGGCGGGTGGGGGAGGCATACACTGCACAGTGCTGTGAATGAACGGTGGTGAGGAAGAAAGCAGATTTTGATGCAGGTGCAGAGGCAGCTCTGATCGTCCATGGCATGGCTGGGAAGGATTAGATCCTGGGTCTCGGGGCCAGTGCTGTGTGCTGGTTAAGCCACTGTCTGCAGTGCCGGCATCCCATATGGGCACTGGTTCAAGTCCTGGCTGCTCCACTTCCGATCCAGCTCTCTGCTGTGGCCTGGGAAAGCAGTGGAAGATGACCCAAGTCCTGTGTCCCTGCACCCGCATGGGAGACCTGGAAGAAGCTCCTGGCTCCTGGCTTTGGATCGGTGCAGCTCCGGCCGTTGCAACCAGCTGGGAAGGGAACCAGTGGATGCAAGATCTTTCTGTCTCTCCCGCTCTCTCTGTAACTCTGCTTTTCAAATAAATATATATACTAAGACCAAGGGTCTACTCACCCTGCCAGGACTTCGTGGTCCGACACCTTCACGCTGGAGACGCTGTCCTTGGCTTCGTCCAGCTTCTGCACTGGCTCAGGTCTTCTTGAGCGGCAGTCCCAGCAGCGGATGCTGGAGTCGATGGAGCCTGCAAAGCCGCCGTGAAATGGGGGTCACCTATAGAGGGGGTGGGGATGGCCCCTCGGTCCCTCACTCCTAAGGCGCCAGACTCACCAGACAGGATGACCGTGGCCTCCTCATTAAACTGCACCGTGTTCACCTTCTGAGAAACAAGAACTGCCACTCAGAGGAGGCTGGACTTTGGGAGGACTGGGGCAAGGGCACAGCCTAGGGGGTGGGGGCGGTGAGAGGGCGGGGCTTGCTGATGGGCAGGCTGTCAGGAGTGGCGGTCCCGTCCACCCTCCATGGGCTCAGGGTTTGGGGTTGGGGGGAGGGCAGGGGGGTCTCCCGGTTTGCACTCACCCCGGCATGGCCTCGGAATTTGCGCACAACCTGCCCCGATGCCACATCCCACAGCACCACCGCCTTGTCCCCGCCGCCGGAGCACAGACTGCTGTTGTCAAAGGAGCTGCAGGGCAGGAAGAGGAGGTGGCGGAGGGAAGGTGGCCGTCCACCCCCCCCCAACACACCCCGATCCTGGCCTCGGCGCTCCCCGATCCCAGCCCGCGCGGCTCACCTGGCCGCGTCCAACACCTCGTAGCCGTGGCCGCTGTACGTCCGCAGCAGCGTCCCCCGCAGCGGGTTCCAGAGCTTCAGGGTCTTGTCGCTGCCGCACGTCAGGCAGTAATTGCCGTCCACTGGGGAACACCGGGCGCGGACGGGGAGCGGTTATGGGGCCGCAGACCCTCAGGAGGCGGGAGGAGGCCGCGACACGAAGGAGGCGCTCACCATTAAACCGCACCGCCCGCACGGCCCCCTGCCCGCAGTCCAGCGTCTTCACCCGCTTCTGCGGCAGTTCGGGGGCCCGCGGCTTCGGCTCAGGAAAAGCCATGGCTCCGCGGTCCCGGCGCGCTTGGGTGTCACCTTATTATTGTCCCCCATACCGATTTCCGGTTTCTCACTTCCGGATTCAAGCCTTCAATACTGTGGTGACTGATGTTGAGAATATCGAAGCCCGCTCTCTCAAGCCACCCCCCCATACCACTTCCAATTTTCAAGGAATATTTTGGGTGTCGTTTAGTTTTTTTCCCCTTCTGCCTGGAGAAAGTCCTGGCCTCTGCGGTGTGGAACGGAAGCGTCAGGGCTGTGGGTGTTACTCTAAAAGGCATCCTCCGCTCCCGCACCGGAAGCGGCGGCTCCGGGAGCGGAAGAGACGCCAGCTGGCCCTTCCGCGCGCAATGTCCACCAACAATATGTCGGACCCACGGAGGCCCAACAAAGTGCTGAGGTGAGGGAGGACCCCAGCGTTGTGGTGACGGGTCTCGGGTTTGGGTGCGGGTCGGGGCCAAGGGAGCCGCCTGCCTGTCCCGGGGGCGAGACTTGAGTGTCCCTGACTCTTGAGCGTGTCTCAGGTACAAGCCCCCGCCGAGTGAGTGTAACCCGGCCTTGGATGACCCGACGCCAGACTACATGAACCTGCTGGGCATGATCTTCAGCATGTGCGGTCTAATGCTCAAGGTGGGCGGGGCTGGGTACCCGTGGGCGTGGCTAAGCCAGAGAATGGGGGCGGAGGGGCAGGATCCAGTGGAAGCGGGGCGTCCGGGCAGCGGCGGGGGGCGGGGCCTGAGGCCAGCCAGCGGAGAGGGGCGGGGCCTGAGGCCAGCCAGAGATAAGGTGCGGGGCCTCAGAGTCAGCTTGGGGCGCCTCGCAGGTCCGTCTGAGGGTGGAGACAGCCTTTGAAGCAACTTGGAAGAAATTTCTGGAAAAAATGATGGTGGTGGGCAGCATGGGGCGATGTCTCAGGCCATTCTTGGGCCTCAGGGAACTCGGTGGGGTCAGAGACACAAGCTTGGGAACTGAACCAGGAGCTGGGTACCTGGCGTTGCCTCTGAAGGGGGGGGTGGAGCCACTTCCGGGGGGCAGGGTAGGGTCCCAACTGGACAAAGTGGGATCATTTTAAAAAGTATGCATGAGATCTTCTACTTACTATTTGGGATCTAGGGAGGGCGGGCAGAGTGAAAGGAGGACAGGGGCAGAGAGACAGACATACCGAGATCGCCGTCTGTTGATTGACTTCCCAAATGCCAGAAATCGCGGGGCCTGGGCTGGGGCCGGGAGCCGGGAGCTGGGAGCCGGGAGCCAGGCGCGCAGTCCATCCAAGTCTCCCACGCAGGCGGCAGGCGCCCGAGTGCTCGAGCCGTCCCTGCTGCCCGAATGTCCACCGTCCCCCGCCCCGCACAGTGTGGAATGTGGTTGGGGCGGGGGTGGGGTCGGGTCCCTGGCATCCTGAGCAGCGGCCCCCTGCCTTCCCCCAGCTGAAGTGGTGCGCCTGGGTCGCCGTCTACTGTTCCTTCATCAGCTTTGCTAACTCGCGCAGCTCCGAGGACACCAAGCAGATGATGAGCAGCTTCATGTGAGGCTTTACGTAGGGGTGGGGGGCTCTTGGATGAGGGGCGGTGTGGCCCCAGACCCCTCCCCCCATCCTGGGCACACCCCTCTTTGCCCGCCTCCAGGCTGTCCATCTCTGCCGTGGTGATGTCGTATCTCCAGAATCCTCAGCCCATGACGCCCCCCTGGTGATGGCAGCCAGGAGGGTCATGTCCTGGACCCGCGCTGCGCACCTGCCCGAGGCATGGCCTGTGGTCACTCAGAATGCTGCCGTCCTGAGTGAAGAGGTCCCAGACCCCCCCACCGCAGGGTGGAGGGAGCATGGCCCCTGGGATGGGGGGCGTCCCCGTCCTTCCCTTACCCTGCCTGCCGCGGGGGGACATGCTGTCCACGTTGCTGGGGTCTTCTCTCATTCTCTTGTTGAAATCAGTTGGTAATAAAGTTTTTCACTCTGGCTGTCCTCCGTCATCTGTCGCTTCTGTTCCCTGGGAGGGTCTCCGCGCGGTGTGGCTGAGCCAGGTGACAGGATGAGATGGCTAACTCCTGCCCTCCAGCACCTTGGCAGTGACCCTGCGGGCCTGAGCGCCCTGGCCGGGTAGGAATTGGGCAGTCAGGCCTTGCAGCCTCCAGGGGGCGCTGGCTCCCGTCCCTGCCGCGGGGATCTGTCACGGTGCTCCAAGGGCTCTTTCCCCTGTCTGGATCCCCACTGGGCAGATCCACATCTTCCTCTTGACCTGCGGCGAGCCCAGCTCAGTCCCTGCAGGTCCCCACTCTGGCGGTGAGTGAGATGCCCTAGGATCCGGGCAAACCCCCTAGGAAAACCCGGCCCCCACAAGAAAAGCAACTCAAGGCCGCAGCCTCCATCGCCCAGCCCCGCCCCCTTCCCCACCGAGTGCGGAGGCTGGGCTCCCTGCGCGTCGCTCCCGGGACCCGAGAACCAGAACCTTCTGCCGTGGCTGCAGTGGAGGCGTGGAGTGCGGGCTTCGGGAGTCCACGATGGCCGCGGCCACAGCGCCGCCGCCTCTACCCTCTCTGTTTTAGTGTCAGTGGTGGCGCCCAGCAGCGCTGCACCGGGCCGCTGTGGGGGCGGGGAGGCGGGGTGGGACGGTGGTGCTGGCTGACTGTGGCAGAGTGAGTTGGGCAGGGGCTCGCATTCCGTACTGGGGACCCGTGGGGCCATCTGGTGCTTCACTTTTGACCCAGGTCCCTGCTGGTGTGCTTGAGAAAGCAGCAGAATACGGCTGGCCCGGCTATTCGGGTCCCTCCCACCTGTGTGAGAAACCGGGACGGAGTTCCAGTCTGCTGTCTTTGTCTTGGCGTAACCCTGGCTATTGCGCCCATTTGGGGAAGGAGCCAGCTGGTGGAAGAGCTGTTTCCCTCTCTGTTTCTCTGTTTCTCTGTGTCACTCTGCCTTTAAAAAAAGTGGGGGGAAAAAGAGGCTTTGAAACCTTTAAGTATTTATTTGAAAGAGAGAGTTGGAGGGAGGATGTGACCATCCAGGGGTCACTGAGAGAGACAGGTAGACAGATTTATCCACTAGTTGGCTCCCACGAGCTAGGCCAGGTGGACGTTGGGAGCTTAGGACTCACCCTGGGCCTCCTGTGTGGGTGGCAGGGCCATCATGCTGTCACTCAGAGCATGAAACAGGAGTACAGCTGGGACTCACTCCCAGAGCTCTGATGTGGGGTTGACGGCGTCCCAACTGGCATCTTAGTCGCCCAGAGTGAGTTTAGATGAGGCTCGTGAGCTTGCTGTCCTGTTGGGTACAGTGACAAGTGGGGGAAGGAAGTGATCAGTCGCTGGACTCCAAGAGCTACTTCTTTTTATTATTATTTTTTATTTGACAGAGTTAGACAGTGAGAGAGAGAGAGAAAGGTCTTCCTTCCGCTGGTTCACCCCCCAAATGGGCGGGACTGCCGGAGCTATACCAATCTGAAGCCAGGAGTCAGATACATCTTCCTGGTCTCTGATGCGGGTATAGGGGCCCAAGCACTTGGGCCACAGCAGAGAGCTGGACTGGAAGAGGAGCAACTGGGACAGAATCTGGCACCACAACTGGGACTGGAATTTGGGGTGCCGGCGCCGCAGGTGGAGGATTAGCCATGTGAGCCATGGAGCCGGCCCCCTCCAAGGGCTACTTCTACACGGACAGCAATGGCCGGGAGATCCTGAAGAGGAGGTAAGGGGGACACAGGGCACCCGCGGGGCAGTGGTGATGTGTGGGGGCCCAGGGGTGGGGGCGCTGGCTGATGGTGTGAATGTGGGAGGGAGAGGAAGAAGGGAGAGAGCAGAGTGGGGGAGCCGGTCCCCCAGCCTGACCAGATGACCTCTCGTCCCCCAGGAGGAATTACCGGCCCACCTGGAACTTGAACGAGGACCCGCCCCACCTCTCCTGGGTGGAACTCAGCCGAGCTTTCGCCCTAGGCTCCGCGCTATGGAGCGCAGGCACCCAACCTGGCCTTTGGATCTGCTGCCCTCCCCCAGGCTCTGTCCTGCCCGCCTCTCCCCTACGGCCCCGCCTCTCCGGGCCTTCAGCCCCGCCCTAACGCCTCTGGGCAGATAGGCTCCGCCCCTTCCAGACTTGCACCTGATTTGCTGGGAACATCCCCCAACCGGGGACCGCCCCGTCCTCTCATTGGCTTGGTCCTCCGCGATCCTGCCCGCTTCTGGCTGCCGAACCTCGCCCTCCCCGCGCAGGCCCCGCCTCGCTCCCACTTATCCTCGGCGACTCCCGGCGGTTCTCTGGGCTCGGCTAGGAGCTCCTGCCCCGCCCCGTGCACCGGCTCGCCCGGACCCGATGGGGTAAAGCTCTTGGAGCACCAGTTTGCCACGGGGAGGATTCAGGGCCGCTACTTGAACTCCCTTGTGATGAGAAAGGGGAAAGCTGGATTTGCAAGACACTGGGGCCTGTCCGTGGTTCCCGCAGCACCGCCACCATCACCTGCCTGCACGAGACCACGCTGGCGGCCAACCAACCCCAGGCCAGCGCCTCCAGGCTCCAGTGAACCCCAGAAACCAAAGTGCACCTAGTGTGGGTGGGGTGGGCTCCTGCCTGGGGCTGGCAGCTGGGGGTTCGTGTATGAGATGTGAGAATGTTTGCCAGGATCCAGTATAGAACCTAGGACCCTGGGCAGATCTGGGCTCTTGGAGCTTGGGGATCCAAGGTGGGTTCAGCAAACTTGCAGTAGGTCTTCAGGGGTTGAGGATTCGGTCCCAGGAACAAGATTCAAGGGTCTCCGGGGGTGTCTAGTTCTGGGAGGGTGTGAGATCCTGTTAGAGATAGAATGCACGATCTAGAAAGGTCTCCTAAGCCTAGCTAAGTTTTTTTTTTTTTTTGAAATGTTTTAAAGATTCATTTGCTTTAAAAAAAAATTCATTTACTTAGGGCCAGTACTGTGATGTAGAAGGTTAAGCCCTCGCCTGCAGTGCCAGCTTCCCATATGGGTGCTGGTTTGAGACCTGGCTGCTCCACTTCTGATCCAGCTTCCTGCTGATGTGCCTGGGAAAGCAGCGTAAGATGGCCCAGGTGCTTGGGCCCCTGCACCCATGTGGGAGACCTAGAAGAAGCTCCTGGCTCCTGACTTTGGCCTGGTCCAGCTCCAGCCACTGTGGCACCATCTGCAGGGTAAACCAGCAGATGGAAGATCTCAGATCTCTCTCTCTCTCTCTTGCTCGCTTGCTCTCTTTCTCCTTCTCTATTTCTGTCTTTCAAATAAGTCAATAAATCTTAAACATTTTTTTTTTTATTTAAAAGGCAACGTGACAGAGATGGCGAGAGTTCTCCCATCCGCTGGTTCATTCTCCCAATGGTCTCAATGACCAGGGTTGGTACAGGCCTGAAGCCAGGATCCTAGGACTCCATCCAGGTCTTCCACGTGGTTTACAGGGTCCCAAGTTCTTGAGCCATGATTTGGGCCATCATGTGTTGTCTTCCCAGTTGCATTTAGCAGTGAGCCTGCTCAGAAGTGGATCAGCCAGGAGTCCAACCGTCACTCGGATATGAGACACCAGCCTAGAAATACAGTGGCTTAACCCACTGTGCCAAGACCATGGCACTCCTTCCTTGAGTATTTTGCAGGGAGGTCAGTTGGTGGCTGATCCTCATACCAGACCCTCTGTCTGCAGCACCCAGTCTCCCCCATCACTTTCTCTCTCTCTCTCTTTAAAGATTTATTTATTTGAAAGGCAGAGAGAGATAGGTCTTCCATCCACTGGTTCACTCCCCAGATGGCTGCAATGGCTGGAGCTGAGCCAATCCAAAGCCAGGAGCTTCTTCCAGGTCTCCCACGTGGGTGCAGGGGCCCAAGGACTTGGACCATCTTCCACTGCTTTCTCAGGCCACAGCAGAGAGCTGGATTGGAAGTGGAACAGCTGAGACTCGAACTGGTGCCCATATGGGATGCTGATACTGCAGGTGGTGGCTTAGCCTACTGCGCTACAGCGCTGGCCCCACATGCAGATGTTTCACCCCCAAGTCATAGATGGATGGTACTGAGAGGGTAGGAACTTGATTTAATCATGGTGTTGAGAGAGTGGGCTTTGGGGGGCGAGCACTGTGGTGTGGTGGGTAAAGCCACTGCCTGTGACGCCAGTATTCTATTGACATGGATGGAGTGGACACCTGGCTGCTCCACTTCCAACCCAGCTCCCTGCTAATGTGCTTGGGAAGGCAGCGGAGGATGGCCCAAGTGCTTGGGTCCCTGCACCTTAGAAGGAGACCTGGAGGAAGCTCCTTACTCCTGGTTTTGGCCTGGCCCAGCCCTGGCCATTGCAGTCATTTGGAGAGTGAACCAGTGGATGGAAGACACTCTCTCTCTCTCTCTCTCTCTCTCTCCCCATCTCTTCCTCTCTGTGTAACTCTTTCAAATAAATTAATAAATCTTTAAAAAAAATTGTGCCTTGGGACTGGAATCCTTGGCTTTAACCTGCTGCACCACAGCACCAGCCCCTCTGCCTTTCAAATAAATAAAATTATATATATATATATATACACACACACACACACACACATATATATATATATATGTAAGAGAAGTGGGGGGCTGGTGCTGTAGCACAGTGGGTTAAAGCCCCAGCCTGCAGCAGTGCTGGCATCCCATATGGGTACCGGTTCAAGTCCCGGCTGCTCCACTTCTGATCCAGCTCTCTGCTGATGGCCTGGGAAAGCAGTAGAAGATGACCCAAGTCCTTGGGCCCCTGCATCCATGTAGGAGACCCAGAAGAATCTCCTGGCTCCTGGCTTCAGATCAGCTTAGCTCCAGCCATTACAGTCACTGGGGAGTGAACCAGCGGAGGGAAGACCTCTCTTTCTCTGGCTCTACCTCTTTCTGTAACTCTGTCAAATAAAATAAAAATGAAATTTTTTTTTTGTTTTAAAGAGAGAAGTGCGCCTAGTGGGAGACTTTTAGGTCACTGGGGCTTTGTGCATGCAAGGCAGAACTTATTTTTTTTTTAAGATTT